CTCTCTCTCTCTCTCTCTCTCTCTCTCTCTCTCTCACCTCTCCATCTCCCACTTTCCGTCCACAGAGGCCAATTTCCCCCAACAACCATGACCCAATCTACGACACAGCTGTCCAGTTCGCCAAAGCACACGGCTACGGCCTGGTGGAGTTTGTGGAAGACGCTGACTTCCACTCCGAGCCGGCCATGAACACGTCACGTCTTCGAGCCTGTCTCTCTCAACGTCGGATGTCTGCAACATCTTCGCACGCAACAACGTCCAGAACAATAATGGTAACAAACGACGGCGCCTTTCCATCTCCGCACAGCTCTCGCCCGGGGCTGTGTGGGACAGACTCGCCGTGTCGCACGAGCGTCAATGGCGACATGCGCAGCCCGGTGTGCGCGCACCGTCTGACGTCACGTTGCCGCCGGAGTCGGAAGTGCATGGTTCGGCCAAGCTTACTGAGGAGCAGCATCATCAAACAGGTTCGTTCATGTTGTCTAGTTCAGAAGTCACGAAACTTGTTTCAAAGTGGGTCAGATAACTGAGAGAATGCGGAGATTATCAAACATCTATCGGCCTCTTCAGCGGGTTGTTGGTGTGTGCTCTGGTGTGGTTTGCTCCTTCTTTCCTATCAAACATCTATAGTCCTTATCCCTCCTCCTTTTTCTGTGTTTGTCAACACGTCTAATCTTCGGTACTTATATGACCTTAGTGTTTTCCTTATTGTGTAGCAAGTGTAGAAAAACTCGTACTAAAACAAATCTAATCTTCGGTACTTATATGACCTAATTGTGTTGAAAGTGACGTAAAACTCTTACTAAAACATGAAAGAGGTTGGGCTTGATACAATACAATGCCCTGGCGAGTCAAAGGAAAGACTTTTCATGTCACATTAAAACCGTGCAAGAGTGTGATACAGAAGCTAAAAGTTATGAAGTATGAAGTCTATAAGCGTAAAAACGCTATGGAATTGAACTGTAGGCCTACAGTTTGGAGAAAGGATTACATTATTTTGGTTACCAAGTTCTGAGCGTGCGAAAAACACGTCTTCCAAGTTATCCTCCCCTCCCCAGCTTAACCGCTGGATTATATCTTTACGAGAGCTTAAATGAACTGACTTCGTGGCCGAATCTGGCCTTTGGCGTAACCCCTGGTCTATTAGAAAGAGTGCCTAATGGTCAAATGGACAAATGGATCGGATCTGCATGATGAGGCCGGGTCGGGTCGGGTCCGGTAATGACGCTGGCTATCAAGCACATGACATCAAACTTTGATTCAATAGACCTCTGCTTTACTTCATCACATTTGACAAAGGTCCATGTTCCAGCCTTTTCGATTCTATCGTGCAAAGAAAAGACCCACCCGTCCCCCGTTCCGCTCCTCCTCCTCTCG